TATTCTGCGAAAAGTTGAGGGTTTTTGTGAAATTTTCGTTCTAATGACAAAAAACGATGCTTTGCTATTTGAAAAGAATCTCCTAATTGAATAAAAGCCAATTCATTCTTCAGCGGCAAGTTGACTTGAAATTTACCATTTGGTAACTGGATGGTTGTATTTTTGAAAATTTGTTCAGCTAGTTGGTCATCCTCAGATAAAACCATTTTGTTTTCCACTTCTTCCTGTATCCAGAACCGCTCCAAAAGCTGGTCAGTGGACAGTGGCGTGGTAGTAGGTGATTTCTCTACGTTATCTTGTATTAAAAGTTTGAAAGGGTTGTCAATTTGACCCTGATTTGCAATGTGTAAAGCAACGTTGTTGTCAAATAGAAGGTTGAAGGGATTATCCAATTTGACATCAACTGCTCTTTTAATAAAAGTAATTCTAACTAATCTATAAAAAGTGTAATATTTTCTTTTTTTAGAAACATTTTTTGTGAATCACTGGATATAATAGGCTTTAGGTAGGTATTGATAATTGATACAAAAAATTATAATGAACAAAATATAATTTATTGATAAAGATACAAAGATACATTATTAGCTAGATACATAAATAATATACAGGTATTGCGCGTACTCCCGACCAGTCAGCTCAGCACAGTGCGTTCCGACTGAACATTGAGAACGCTGGTCTGTAAATATTGCGATATAAATAAGTTACATATAAATTATAATAATAAAATAACTACATAACATAAACGGTCTTGCTTGAGAAAAAAAAAAACACACAAATTAAATAATTAATTAAATAACAAAAAACTTCATTCTTTCATCGGTCACATATAGGCACACGAAAAAAGGAAGAAAACAATGAAAAAGCAGTAATAAAAATAATAAATAAATTAGCACGGAATGTACTACGAATTCTAAGACCGATGACATGAAAAAGTAAACCTAATCTAAACTTTTGCACATTCATATACTATATCAACATTCGTATAAAACACACCATTTATAAATTTATTAAAAAATCACACAATATCAAAATCACTCCGCCGATAAGGCGAGATATTATTTGTAATATAAATAAGACATTGTAATTAAATAAAGTCTGAGTTGGAATTGTAAAATCCGGAATCTGGATCTTTCATTTCGCACCTGATATCTATTATTAATATTATCCAAAATAGTGGTATTTCAAATTGTTACATGATCGGCAACCAGTTCAAACTACATTTTAATTTTTTCTGAATTTTAAGAAAATGGCAGTAAAAACTAATACTACAGTCAATATATTTTAATTTTTCGCTATTATTATTTGTTTAATGAGGTTATTGGAACAAACCAAGTCAATATTTTTAAAATTGGTGAATTTAAATTCTTGGAAGTAGATACAAAACGTTTATTGAACATAATTTTGTTTCATTGTGATGTGCCCTTCTTAATGCAGATAACAAATTTGATATGTTCTGCATTAAAAAGGTTTTAGTTTTCCAAAATAACTAAGTATTAAATAAGTACAAATTTTTTTCCAGGTGATACACAAAATTTTATTTGGTCCTAATAAATATAACTCACTAATATTAAAAAAATGAGCCTAAATAAAATCAAATAAATGTAATTAGATAAATAAATTTGTAGGAATTACATGTCTACAGTAGTTGCGAATAACTTAATAAGGCACTCTTTTTATCACTTATACCTTGGATATAGCTATTCTAATATATACAATTAGTTTTACAAGGAACAATAAATATTTATGACTGAACAAAACCTATTTATTTCATTTGATAAACTTTATATTTTTGGTTTCAATATCAAGAATTCAATAAACGTCAACGTTTTGCAACAACGTTGATTTAGTAGATACACCTGGTTGCAAAAATATGAAAAATATTTCAATACATTGTAACACAAAAGTTGCTCTATTTAGCTTTGATGGAAATTTGTCTTTACATACAAGTAAATCATTGATATGTCTGCTAATAACGTATGTTCTAAAAGTTTTGGCACAAGATTCATTGTCTCTAATTTTGTGGAAGCACAAATGGGATAGCCATACAGAAATAAGATATGGTATACTGGTCAAAATACAGGATAGCTAACTGTTACTTAATGCATTTACACTCAGAATTGGTAAGAGTGCTGATGATACTGTGGAGAAGTGGATACGGTGGAGCATACATGATGCTGTGGCGAACTGTAACATTTGATAACATAGTAATATACTATGATTAGGAACCCCCTGATCCTGAGCAGCTATAGATAACCTAGCAAGAGGGATCATGGAGAGTAAGGAAGAGGAAGCCCAGGCACCAGAGTGAAAAAACTCTACTAGCATTACGACACATATCAAGACGATACCAAGATGCTAATAGAGGAGTGGTGAAGATTTAGTAGGTATGGGGAGCATGCAAGTCCCACATTACTACGGAGACCATCATGGAGTGTCCATAAAGAATGTATCCACCACTAGGAGAGAAAAGAGCTGATATTATTTCGAATATTCTAGAATGAGATTATTTCAAGCAGAACCATTTATTGAATAATATCAGGCTGCGAGCAGAGAATACCATGTCTGAATATCCCAAAAAGTGGAAGATCATGAGTATTTACTGCGCAGAAGATAGAGAGGTCGTTAAGAAGAGCAGAAAACAAAGTTGGTATATCAACAAAACGAATTGAAGAGGAATGTTCTTAGATAGGCGGGTGGCACTTTGCCGATGGAAAAACCTGATGCCACTGCCAAAATAATGGCACATTTACCTATGAAATCGCCGCAGGTACAAAATGTTGTATTTCGTCGAAATCACAAAAATCATAGAAAATTAAGCGGAATCCGGTACAATCACATAAAAGCATACCTAAATCATCTAAATCGTAACAATGTACAAAAAATTTTTGGTGATTTCAAAAATACGGGTATGTTTTGACCTTAGTACTTTACCCCTTGGAAAAACCATTACTTTAGATGAAGAAAAGTATTTCAGTTTTGAGTAATTCTGAAATGAAAGGAATTGATGGGTTTTATACAGACACCGTAAAAGATTGCCATGACAATGTTATGTTACAAACATAAAGCAAAGTTTGTGGAAAAAATTTGGTGAGCAATTTCTAACATGGGTACATTCCTCCTTTGGTGGAAAGAGTGAGAGGCGAAGCTTTGAATATTCAGAGCTATATTAATAACTGCCAAACTGCTTCAGTTTGTCCACGAACATCATGTTTTGGCCAGACTTGGCATTGTGCCATTACTGAAGAGATAAGTACCCAAAACTTGCTTCGACAACACCACATACCTTTTGTTCTCAGAAACGACAATCCTCCAAACTTGCCGCAAGCTCGCCTAATAGAGGATTTTTGGGCTTTACTGTCGCGGAAGGTTTATCACGGAGGCTGGAAAGCCCAAAAAGAAAAACTAAAAGGGCGAATTTACGAAAAACAGAGAAATTGATTTGAATTCCGTTCAGAGACATCCGATAAAATTTGCTTCTGATGGAGCAGTATGGATCCACTTCACATAGTTCGATAGTATATTTAAGTACTAAGATGTAGTTTATAACTACAGTAGAGCGTCGATAATCCGGATTCAATTCCGGTAAAAAGAAAGTTGAAGTGAATACAAACATACATACACACATATTTGTCAAACAAAAACGGGATGCGACAGGCTTGGCGGGGTTGTCTTAACCACTACAAAATGTATAAACTGTACAGTATTATGTAAATATACAGGGTGTTTCATAATATATGCGCAGGACTTCAGGACGTGATAGCTCGTCCAAAAATATGAAAAAACGTTTCTATTAACTTACCCTCTAAAATGCACTATTTTCGAGATACAGGGTGTTGAAATAAAAAAAAAAAAATCTACGCCACTGGAAAAAGTACGGTTTTGAGACGCCCATTTGAACCGCCAATGTTTTCTACACAAAAAAGGTACTCTTGGTCATACGCTCTAAAGTCGACCGTTTTCGAGAAAAATATAATTTTGTTTCATTTCCAAAAATTGACCATGTATTTCAACATTAAAATTTGATTTTTCTCAAATACGGTCGACTTTAGAGCGTATGACCAAGAGTATCTTTTTTGTGTAGAAAACATTGGCGGTTCAAATGGGTGTCTCAAAACCGTACTTTTTCCAGTGGCGTAGAATTTTTTTTACAATTTCAACACCCCGTTTCTCGAAAATGGTGCATTTTAGAGGGTAAGTTAATAGATACGTTTTTTCGTATTTTTGGACGAGCTATCACGTCTTGAAATCCTGCGCATATATTATGAAACACCCTGTATATTTTGAACATTACATGTATGTGTATTCTTAAAGTAAATTATTAACGTTTTTAGCAAGTTTTCTTTTTATTAACTCAAAACTTTTTTTTGTTCTTTTCCATAATCCGGACTTCGTCCGGTTACAATTAATCCGGATTATCGACGCTCTACTGTACTTGGGGTTTCAATTCATTAAAAACAGAATCTGATAAATATTTTGTGCTAAATCTTTTAGGACATACGTTGAAGACCAGCTTCTTATACTATTGAAAAATAAGAAGAAAAAAATTAGTTTTTTGGGCTAGATACAAATATGTTTTTTTGGGCAGTTCCTTTTGGTTTGAAATATTTGTCTACTTCCGTGGTCAATAGCATTTAGATTTTAAGCAGTTACAGATTGTACCAATACAAGTCAGCTAAACAAGAAGACCTGTATCTAACAAATCTGTTAAGAAATTTAAATGTTAGGTTTAACAATAGTACCCAATATCAAGATTTAATTAAAAGTGTAAAAACACCGTTTATTGTATAATTTACTTTCAAACTGATTACTTGCAATCAATAATGTGATATTTAATATAATTTTCAGATGTTACAAAGCAACTTAAATAATATTCATTTGTTTTTAACTTTAAACATAATATGAATTCTTCAATATATACACATACTTTTTTTAAATAGATAAATTTTACATTGTTATTTGTTTATAACTGGTCATCGATATTTTTACTCAAAAGATCCAAACCCCATTTCAATCCGAAGTAAATGAAATAAAAAAATCACTACAACATCAAATCACTTAAAGCAATAATCTGCCTATCTATGAGCCTGTTGAAAACTGGTAGCCTTTGATCTTCGATCCCAGGAGAATGAAGTTCAGGTTCGCTGAAAAAAGATCCCATAGAAGAGGTAGGACTCTGACTTAAACTGCAAGGAGGGCTAGGACTGTCCAACGAAAGCGATGGGCTGAGGGCAGCCGGTCGAGCAGTGCGTGACGTTACAGACGCCGCCCTATTAGATACCATTTGGGGTTTGTTACCGGCCGTTACTTCATCTTGATTGTGAACAAAATGACAACGTGGTCCGTAAGGGCAGAAGCCTACTGTGTGGTATGTGCGACAAAGCTCCGTTTTATATTTAGGATGCCTTGCGAGACTTCTCAATTCGTTCATTCCATGTGCAAACTGGCATTTATCCCCGTATTTACAAACTCCGAACTCTTCAAAAGGACGGCAAAGTTCGGTTTTGTATCTCGACGTGTTGACCGTTGTCGCTGTAACGGAAGCAGCAGGTGCTGATACTGGTGGAGCCGGGGCAGATTGAGTACGTTCCAATCTTCGATGTTGCTGGGTAAGGTTTCCGAGTAGCATAGCAGCTAGTTGATTGGAGCTGGTTTGACCTATGGGACTCGATGCCATCCTGGTGAGGGTCAGCCGCATTTGTGTCGTGCCCATTGAAATGTGCGTTGCTTGTGTGTGATCGGGTGACAAGCCATTCTAAAAAAAAAAAAAAATGTCAAATAACATGTTAAATTCATTTATAAGTAATTTTATAATAGCTATTTATGAAACCAGTTACGAAATGCCTTATTTTATGTAACGAGTGAATATAACGAGTTACATAATATTGTAATGACATTTTTAATAAAATACATTTTTTATTGATTTATTTATTAAATGATTGAAAATAATATAAAATATGCAATTGTTTTTAAAACGTAACACAAAATGAAAATGGACTAAATATTTGGCGTTGATTTGAATATTTATGTTTGTCATGATCATAAAATGCTGTAGTAAAATGACAGATGAGTGCAATAAAATTTTTATTGCACTAGTGCAATAAAGAACCAGTTTTTTCACTAAATATAGTTCAATAAAGTTTTGTTTTTTGTATGAACGTAGAAAAAATATTTTTTTCTAATTTTTACTAGATTATTTATAAAATTGTGTTTTGGTAAGAAATTACTGACATAGGCAACCAATATTACTACTTTCTTGTATTGTTTGTTGCATATGAATCATTTTATTGATAAATAGACATTTAAATTAATTATGTATTCTCAACAATTTGTAGTGTTTATTTTGCTTATTTAAGATATTCAATTTTCAAAAAGTGCGTTATTTGTATTGTGTTTTACTTATTTTGTGCTCATTTAGAATAGAAAATAAGGATCAAAACAACATTATTACTAGGTTATAAATTTAACCAAATTCTATTTTTATTAATCAACCTGCCCTTCTTTGATATAAACTTTCAATAATAATGTATATTATTGATTTTAAAACCAAAAATTGTTTATTTGAATTTGTTTTCTTTTGCAACTGCTGACGATGTACCGTAAACCGGGGTTACTTTGACATATTTTGAGAGGTTTTTGTGACAAAACGCAAAAAAGGCTATAATGGACGCTCATTCTATCTCGTCGTACCACTTGAAGTCTTGGCTTGAGAAATACACTAAAAGGGAAAGCCTAAATTACCAGGAAAATTTTATATATTTTTTTAAAAAGGTCTCAATCTAGCCTCTGAGGGGGCCTACTTTTACATGACATTTATATTGTTTAAAAATCAATGATAGCCGTCTGATTAATGTATTTTGTACCATGTTAAAAAATTTAAGAAAAATTTTGAAGAATATTTCTTTTTTTAAAAAAATTAGTAAACTTTGACAAACATATACAATATTCTAAAAGACAAATCACATTTATGTGATTATACAATAACAAAAATTTTATTTATTTTTCTAAAATAATATGGATTTTCCTCTAAAATATATATAGTGGCTCGCAAAAAGTCTGCTTTTTATATGTTACTTTTTTCAGAAAATGTTATTCCTTATAAAACTTGGTGTTTAACTAAACCTAAAACTTTATTTATTCAAAAAATATAAATATAAATTTGGCTGCACAGTGAACTAGGTACTCTTCTAGGAACCGAACCCACATTTTTACATATAAGATTAATTTAAGAAGATGTATATAACTCCACATAGTAGTTTTTTAGTTAATACAATTAATATAGATTATTATATCCTTTTTCTTTCTCAATTCGTCTGTATATATTTTTTTATTTATGTTAACTGATAATTCTTTAACACAATGTCAGATTTAAATGATTCTTTGCTGGTCCCATATAATTTTGGTCAAAATCTAATAATTGGGTCCATGAGAAAATCCTCAAACTTTTCATTTTTTATGTATGTTTAGCGATAATTCTTTACCACGTTGTCCGATTTCTATAATTCTTTTCGTTCGTAAGGGGGTACCTCAGGGGTGGTCCCATATAAATTTGGTTAAGATGTGGTGATGGGATCTGCACGATTTTAAAGTCGGTTTTTTAAAATTACTTTTAATACTTGTTACGTAAATTAAAAGTTTAATAATTTGGTGCTTTCTTGATGCGTCGTTTTATGATTTCACTTTGTATATGTTTAAGTACAGATAATTATTATTCCTGGCAGTTTATTTTAAATCATTAAAATAATATTTTGTTAATCCAAAAAAGGCAAACAAAAAAGCCATGTCACATTCAGTCATCAGTGTAATAATAAAAATTAGATATATAAATATAGTATATTATGTACCAACAGACTAAACTTTCACTTTCAATCCCGCCTTTTTGTCGTAAAAGACTTCTAAATTTTTACCAGTGACGTCCGTACCGGGTTTGAACTGAATATTTTTAAACAAAAATATGGTACGCTACTGCTTTTTCTAAAAACCAAAATTATATTTAAAATCCTTATTTATTTTGGAGCAAATTTGGTTAATAGGCGTACTTTCGTACGACGCACCCTTTTCGCGTAAGAAAATAAAAACCAGTTTATTGAAACTGCTCTTGATATTTTGTTGAAATTTGGTAAGAACCCACCATGAGTGGAAACACTTTTTTTGGGCAAAATTTCATAAAAATATCTAGAGTGATAAAATAGTTATTTTTTTCTTAAAACTTTAACATCCAAGGATTCACACCCTTAAGTATCGGCACTCAATTAATAAATACCCTGTATTAATTGATATTACCTTATTCGAACCAATCGTTTATTTTTTCGTTATTTGTATTTATATTTCACAACTCTTTACTCCCAAATGTAATTTAATCTAACTAAACCTATTCACTAAATTAAAATATAAAAATAATGTAAAACCCTCTAAAAAATCGAACTGTGTTATAACAATATCTCGCAATGCACCAAGAAAAACAAATACGATTCTGGTTCCCCTAATTTAGGTAACTCGGACTCACTCAAGAACTGATGAACGTCGGCAGCCGTGGTAGGATTTTTCCTTTGTCTCAACTTCGCGCATTAGAGTTTGGAATACGTATCCCTCGTATCTACATGCAATTGTTAAAATTATGAATGAATGCGGATTTTGTTTAGTCTCGGAAGTAATTTTGTAGTATTTAGGCTCCACCTTTAAATTGTAATTTTTATACCTACTAAACTACCGTTGCCCCGCAGGTCTTTCAGTTTGTAATGTAAATTTTCCTCTTAATGTTATAAGTTATAATTGTTGTTAAATATCAGTTTACACATTTTTACTTTTTAGTGATTTTCAATAAATTCCATACAATATTTGTATAAAACGGCTAATCTGGGCGAGAAACAGCAAAAATGATTTTTTAGATTGACAAAACACACTGGAGTACTATATATTTTTTAAAATTAAATCTTATTATTTACCCCTGCACGTGCCACAAGTACTCTTTTTGCTACAATAGAAATGTTCATCAAGTTTAACTAGATACTAGCCAATTCTCGTCTTCCAAATATTTAGGAATTTTTTTATAAATAAATTTTAACACCCTGTATTTTTAAATTAAAGCCATTTAGGATCTACGTTTATGTGAACTTCGTGTCTTAAAATTGAATAACTTAAGGTTTGGCCACATAGTTAACGATCACCCCATTGTAAGTTTTCCAATCGTCAGCCCGTATATTTGCACTCCTTTTAAAATCAACTAATGTTTCTAATCCTAATAACAAAACTTAAAACATCAATTACTAAATCCAACTCGATAGATTAATGATTAAACATTTAAATAACGCAACGTCGCGTAAGCACGTACCGTTACGGTTAAAATTAATAAGAAAATATACGTAGCGCCACTATTTAGTGAAAGTACGTTACATGAAAGGTAGATGACTCAATTATGTATTACGGAAAAAGAGACTTAAAACGAAAACGAACGTTGTTTTGATCAACTATCTACGATTACGAAAAAGAGAAATGGACTCCCACTGTTGTAAAACCCGACAGGCCCGGAGTGGCTACATTCGACGCTTAAATAAAAGATGGTAGATTTTATTAAAAACGTTTCATACTGGCGGTAAATTTAGTTACAAGAATTTCGGTATACATTTTTTCTTTTCATTGTATCAATTTTTCCTGGCCCATTAAATAGTAATGTAAAAATAAATATAACTAGTTTCGAATGACTTTTATCCTTATTACAAATCTAGGAACACTAGTATAATAAATATAAAATACTCTCTCTAAAAGATTGTTAAACAATTATCAATATGTTATATGAAAATAAATGTAGCTGGAATGAAAAGATATATGTTTAGTTGTTATCACTTTTTTTTGGTAAATACTTTACCTACATATTTTATTCAATTATTAGTCGAACACAAATAATATTTTTACTTTTACGTAAATTTATTTAAATAAAATTTATTCATATAGTTTATTTTTTACTTTTACAATGTTTAAAACTCGTCTAAAAGTTTTCGGAATCTTTAATTTTAATAAATAAATTTTGTTTTATTATAATTTTAAACAAGAGTTTTAAACATTGTCTAAATTATAGGCTATAGAAATAGATAGAAATACAGCAACAACTGTTGAAGAAAAATAACGCAACTTTGTTATCTTGAAGGGTAGGTACCTATTAGTTTTAAACATGTAAAATCAATTTAATATAAAATATCAAATATTTCACATACATATCTTCAGTTATTTTTAAATATTGTTTATATTTTTCATGGGTGCAGAAATTATGTTATATATCTTCTAGAAACAGTTTCTAAAATATTATGAAATTTTTCAAATTGTAAAGCAGTTTGATAGGTTTATTGTGAGCTAACAAATTTTGAAATAAAGATTTTTTATAACAAGTTGTAGTTAGCAAGTTGTACAACCGTAAACATTAACCGCTTCAATAAAACATATTTGTGAAACTTAAAAATTCATTGGAGATATATTGCAAGTTCACTTAAGGTCAGTCACTAATACCGAAGCGCTTATTTTGACATCTGAGCATGCGCAGATCGTTTAAGTTTTAGAACTTTTTTAGATAAGGTAGTTCCCTATAGCGGACATCTTACAATTCTAAGTTTGAAAATAAAGTATCTGTAATATTTAAGAAAACCAATTGATTTGGCAACAGTTTGCACCTTTATAATACCGGTTCCCAACGCCCCTCGCCCTCGGTTGTCTTCTAAGTGACAGTTAGTGAAGTTCTAAAACCGGAAGTGGATGATTTGCAATTTATGTTGTGATTTGTTAAGTGTTTACATAAGAGGTGAGTAATCAAAACATGGTATATCATTTAAAGTTATTAAAAATACTTCTAAAGACATAAAAGTTCATAGGGGTGTTCACTATTGGAACAATAAAATATATGTGAAGAGGTTGAGTGGTGTGTACACACTGGGTAGTATTTAAAGTGTGTAGGTAGAGTTTTATTAATAAAACTCAGTAATATTAGTCTGAGCGCTTTCAGCCTGTTAGGCCATCATCAGAGACACTACAAAGAGAGAAAAAACGGAGCTATAACAATATAATCAAATCGTGATATTCCTGAACATTGAATAAAAAATAAAACATCTTGAAAACTTACTCGTCAATAAATGTAGAAGAAGCATGAAAATTAATATATAACTAGATTAAAACATAACTACACCATAAAAAATACTTTCGATTCATTTCTTAAAATATATGTGTTCCTATAGTAAACACGGGTGTCCACTTTAGGAATTTGAACTAAAATTGAGTTGACTTGTTACTTTTACTTTTAAAAAAATAACCACTGATATGTTTCAAGTTTTATTAGGAACCGAGGCTAGGATTCAGTAGTGTACATAGGGTGTTCACTATTGGACCATATAGATGTCCACTATTGGGTTAAATTTTTATACATTTTTTTTTATTTATAACAGTTTATAAGTAAAAATGTATAAAGATTTATTCTTGTATTATTAATTGTTTAGGTTTTTAATAGTTTTCGATTTATTTTAAGGTACATATGAAGCATAAAAAATTTTAAAATGCCCAGAACAAAATTAGGTTAAGTGCTGTTGAGGCTGTAAATATGGGAATGTCCTATAAAGCTGTTGCAAAGACGTATGGTGTTCCCAGAGCAGAGGTGGGGAGGATTCGAATCACATCCGCAAGCGATATTCAAATACTTAAGAAAAAAGGATCCGTGATCCGGATTCGCCGAAAACATCCTAAGGATTCGTATTCAAATCACCAATATTAGTCTCGGATCCTTTTAGAGACCAGACTACTCCGGCGCGAACGGTCGACTCACGCTTTGACTTCTCGCGAATTGTAAACTGAAACAGACCGAGACTGAAGACCCATTGCTAATATTAAGAAGATAAACGTAACAATCTACAAATTAATGTCAAAGAAGGCAGCAGAGCACCTAGACAATTTTAAATTGAAACCTATACCATACTTTTTATACCCTATTCAAAAATTTTAAGCTCGTTTTCTTGCAAAAATCAAAGTTCTCTGCTAGCTTCGAACGAAGCCAGCAGAGCACCTCAGTTTTTTAAAGCTCTGTTCTAAAAACAACCACATTGCATTTTTAGGCTCTTGAAATATTCTAAAACTTTACCAAAAATTGCTATTTATAAATAATACAGGGTGCTTTGTTGGAACAAACTGCAGGGTTCGAAAATATCATGATATTTATATAAATATCATATCAGACGATATATATCGGATATATATCATTTTTAAAATGTAATTATTTAATTCAAAAATAGTATTGTTTGTTGCAAAAACTATATTTTAAATTTTAACACAAAATAAAAAAAAAAAAAAATATTTTAGATTTAAACATTATTTTAATAACATTAATATTTTAACACAAACACATAATTAAAACATATATTCTAAATTCTAAAAAACAAAACCTTTGATTATAACATTTATAACTTTAATATTAAAAAGACAAATATTAAAAATCAACAGATTTTAACATTGATTAATTGTAAATATCAATAATGTGATTCCTATGAGTGACAATAACTTCAGAATCTTCAGATAAGGCTAGGTCCCATGAGCACTCAAAGTTCATTTTCTTTTTGTCTATGTTTTGATTCATATTCTTAAACAGCAAAAACAGAACAAATCGTGGCAAAGCTGGGAACAGGAGCGTATTCATACATTTTCGGATGTTTAGAATGGTGGAAAACATTTTTAATTTAATAAATAAAAATATCGGATACATATCAAGGCATAAATATCATGATATATATATCGTGATATATATCACTTGATATATATCCTCCGAACCCTGGAACAAAGCTCGGTTTATTTTTTTTTTTCTGGAAACATCTACTTATATCACATATTTAAGCTATTTTTAGGCTCTTAAAATATTATAAAACTTTTCGAAATAAGTAGTGTTTTTTAAAAAAATACCGGCACCCTGTATTTCTTAAAAATAATATTTTAAGATCCTAAAAATATTGTGTCGTTGTTTTTGGAAAAAAACTTAAAAAACTGAGGTGCTCTGCAGACTTCGTTCAAAGCTAGCAGAGCACCTTGATATTTGCAAAAAACGAGTAGCATAAAAATAGCTTTAAAATAGCCTAAAGATATAGCATATGTTTCGACTCAAAGTTGTCTAGGTGCTCTGCTGTCTTCTTTGACATTATAAATTAGCAATGAATATCCAACATTAAAAAATCCTAAAATTTAACACTTGCCTTCCTTCGTCTGGTGCTGTGTAAGGCCAACCAAAAGACATTTTTATTGCATTGTTTATTATTTTGTGTTTTGCATTAAAATAAAATATATTTTTTTCTAGATTCTAATTTATTTATGGTTTATATTTATAGAAAAGAAAAAAAGTTTTTTTTTCAACAGTCTGTCTCTTGTATCAACCATTTGTATGCAAGTCATAGGGGGGCGTCCATTAATTACGTGAGGTATTTTTGAGGATTTTTGACTCCCCCTCCCCCCTGGCGAGATTTGGTAAGATTTTCCTTAACTCCCTCCCCCCCTTCCCTAATCTCGCGTGAGATTTTTAAAAAATCCTTTTTTTGGGTGTAAATGTGTTGGATTATTATTAAAAAAAAAAAAACACAATATGTTTGAGAGTGTTGCAATTATTTAAAATCACATTAATAAAATTAAATGATAAATACTTAAATGGAAATTAATAAAAAATAAATAAACATAATTATAAGATTTTTCCATATTTTATTCTAGAAATACTTTTACTATAATTTAACTTTACTTTCAGGCAATTTTACACCGTTTCCTACTAGAAAAAAAATTACGTGAGATTTACAAAAACCCCCCCCTCCCCCAAGTGAGATTTAGAAAGATTTAGTTTTATCCCCTCCCCCCCTTGAACACCTCACGTAATTAATGGACGCCCCCTAGTCCGTAATAGACACATAATTGATATTAGATTCGGAAGCATACATAATACCATGGTATGACACTGACAGTGATTCGTATTCGTGATCCGAAAAAATGGATTCGAATCCTCTTTTATTGCAAAAAGGATTCGGCCACAGGATCCGTGATTCGAATCACATCTCGTGATTTGGATTCGTGATTCGAATAAATTTTTTAAGGATTCGTCCTAGCTCTGTCCAAGAGTGACACTAACGCGCTAGAATAAGGGCACAGTACCCTTGAAAAGAAAAATGGGACCTGAAGGCACCTTCACTTCGGACAAAGAGGCAAAACTTGTCGAGTGGGTAAAAGCAATGGCAACTGCTGGATTTCCTCTGAGAAGGTATACGTTCTTAGGAAGTGTAGCTAAATTGGCTGAAGAATTAAAAGTTACATTTAAAGGAAATACCTCTCCAGGTACAAAATGGATGAAGTTATTCCTTCAAAGACATCCTGATATTAGCTTTAGAGTAAGCCAAAATCTAACTACTGTGAGAAAAGGAGTATCCCAAGAAAATATAAACCAGTGGTTTAAAGAAGTAGAAACATATCTTAAGGACAAGCAGTTATTCCACGTTTTGGATGACCCAAGAAGAGTTTTTAATACGGATAAAAGCTTATTATTTTTAAATCCAAAGCCAGGAAAATTTTTGGCTCCTAAAGGTTCTAAGTCTGTGTACACTGCTTCTGGAAATGATGAGAAATTTAACGTTACAACGCTTCTCACTGTGAATGCTATGGGAAAAATAGCCCCACCATTAGTTGTATACCGGTACTTACGTTTTATTTTGTAGTTTTCCATTTTTATTAGTTTTTGTTTTATAGGTATTCTAGAATTCCACAGTATATCGCCTAAACCTTCCAGCAGACTGGTCAATCGGAAAATCACTAAATGGTTGGATGACTCAGAAATTATTTTTTGCGTACATTGCCAACATTTTTCTTCCTTGGATCAAGAAAGAAGGAATTAAATTACCAATTTTATGGATGGTCTTTTTAACTGAGTAAATTTTGTATGGAAAATAAAATAGAATTAGTTGCCTTGTATCCTAATTCTACCCATGTCCTACAGCCAATGGATGTAGCTGTTTTCCATGTGTTAAAAACTTCTTGGAAACAAAAAGTTCATGAATGGAGGATAAAAAATAATGGAGAGCAGTTAAAAAAACACAATTTTGGAAGTATTGGCATCAATAAAAAAGTCAACCATAGTGAACGGTTTTAAAAAGTGTGGATTGGTGCCATGGGACCTTAAAAACGTGGTAGTGAGAGATAAATCATCAAGTGAATCCAATACGCTTACAATAAATCATGACGAGGAAATATTTTTACTCATTTTAGAAAGAGAAATTGGGGTAGAAAACATGGATTCCTTTATAAAAACGGAAGGAGAGTGGGAGGAAGATTTACAATATTCTTCACTATATAATCTATGGAAAAGATTTCATAAGAAGAAGCAAGCCTTTTATAAGGTAGATTTCTTCCGATTAACTGTAATATAAAATGTATTTTTTAAAGGAACAACATGATACAACAGTGGGGGCGACTGAGAAAAATGGCGATATAGAACATATGTCTACGTCCATGATAGAGCAGCCAGGTTCATCAAGCGAAGAAGAAATACCAGTTATTTCCACACCAACAAAGACGACTTCTTCAGACGCTGCTGTGGAACAAGCAACTACGTCTGCAGTAGAACAGCCTAGTTCATCAAGTACTAATATTCCATTGAAGAGAACACCACCTACTATGTCGTCTTTATATGTTGATGTGGAACGCACCTCAATTTCCCCTTCAGAATTGTATTATCCATCTCCGTTTAAAAGAGCCCTGCGTTGCATACAATCAGATGATAAAGCAGAACCTGTCAAAAAACGAAGGGAAGTACTACCAGCAGTTGTCACATCTCCACAAATGTTGGAATATTTTAAACAAAAGGAGGCAATAAAAAAAGGCGGAGCTCGAAAAAGAACAACGAAAAATAGCAAGAAAAGAGAAGAAAGCAATAGAAGCCAAAGAAAAGAAACCACAAAAAATGGCTACAAAAAACGTCAACAGTCTACTTAATCATCTTCTTATCAAAGCAGGACAGAATGGGAAGAATATGATGAAAGCGAGAATGAGCAATTGTTGATCCTACTGTTAATTCTATTGATTTGAAGGAAGGAGACTATGTACTGGTAGAGTTTAAGGGTGGCAAAAGAAACACCACAATCTTCAGATATCTGTGTGTTATTCAGACATTAACTTCACCATACAGAACATGGGGGATTACCAAGGCATTGTTTGTTATAATCACTCAACCAATATAATAGGTAACTGCAAATATAATATATTTAAAGAAAAATTAAGAAAGTACTCAATCGAGAATGCATTCTACTCAGTTGAGGAATTTTTGGATGCCAAACCAGGAATAAATAATATAAGTTGATAAACTTGAAAATTTTACTGTAAATTCTTTTCTCAATTTTTATAACAATTTTAAAACTGTTCATGTTGTTTTGTGTTACATTGACAAATAGGTGGATGGAAGTAGGTAGATTGTGTCTAGGTGTGCATGGAAGTGTGGATGTCAAATTTTAAAAATTTTAATTTTTTTACTATAATTTTTATTGGGACTAGTCTGTAAGTTTTATAATATTACTAGAGATGATAATAATTGTAAACTTGTAAAGATACAATAAATGAATATGAACAGTCTATAATTATTATGGGATATAAAAGCACTGACTGCTTAAAAAAAGAGTTTGTGGCAAATGATTAAGACGTTTCTGAAATAAATTTAAATCAAATGGTTAGTAGACTTGCATTTCAAACACCAATAAATGTTACTTTTTAAATTAAAAGTGCTTTTACATATTGTTTATTCCAGATATTTGATTTTTACCATAAAATGAATATAGCATTAATAGAATTACCAAAATCTGGGTGTCCACTATTGGAAAAAAAAACTATTAGATAAAATCCAATTTGGTGTGTTCACTACTGTAGCATAGCGAAGGAACTTCTTTTTTATTATTATTTTTTTTTTTTTTTATAAAATAGGTTGATTAGTTTTTTGTTTAGTATCATTTAATACAATTAAAGAAGTCCAAAAAGTATTATACCTTTCTGTCTATAACATGTCCACTACTAGCACCTTTGGATTAGATTAGGAGTTGGACGTTATTTGTCCTTGTCCACCGCGACCTTTTCAGATCTATTGTTTTAGAGTATATCGTCTAGCCTGGTCTTTTTTATTAGACTTAGTAGCTTCGACAGTGACTCCCGCATGTAGTTGCATGCAATTGGCTTTTCTTCGCCCAATGTTAGAAACCTCATTCCAGTCAGGCCTTCACATTGGTACAAGACGGGGAATGATGTTTCCTCTTCTTCTTCACAGAACCTGCACAAGGTTGCTTCTTCTGCTGGATTTATGATACTCATGTGCCTTTTGAGGCGGCAGTGTCCAGTAAGAAGGCCTACTGTTATCCTAACGATTTGACGCTTTTGATCCAGTAGGTCTTTCGTAAACTTGGCCGATGGTTCCTTGATGAACTGTTTGGCCTGTCTCAGTCTTGGATAGTTGTTCCACTATTCCTGAGACTCTTTTTGCATCCATTGTTTAAGTACCCGTTTTTTGTGAACGGTACAACTGTTGTTTTTTGTGCGTTAATGGACAATTGTTCCTTTTTGCACCAGTTGTTCACTATGTTTAGAGCTATTTGAGATCGCTCCGAGACTGTACCTGCAAATCGCCCCCTGACGATAATTGCTAGGTCGTTTGCGTATCATAGGCACTGGTAGCCTTCTTTGGAAAATATTTTGAGTAAGTCGTCTACAAGAACTGACCACAGCATTGGAGATAATATTCCTCCTTGTGGGTAGCCCCGTGTAACTTTTGCCTGTATGGTTGCCTTTCCTACAGTGGATAAAATAATCCTGTTCTCTAGACAGGCAGTGATCCATTGGTATATTGTTACTGGGACGTTTCTTCCTTCTAGAGCCTTGGTTATTGACCTGGTTGAGGCATTGTTGAAAGCTCCTTCAATATCTAAGAAAGTGGCTATTGCGATTTCTTTGTCATCTATTGACTTTGAAACTAGCCTGTTTAGATCGTCCAGCGCTAGGTCAGTTGATTTTCCTGCCTTAGGTATGATATTTTTGGAAACTAAATAATTTTAAAAAATCAGTGTAAAATTTAGATAAATATTGACTCCTGTTAACCTTTAGTAGGCAGGCGATTTTTGCCTGATATTGATAATTTACAGTCATTAAATTGGTATAAAATATCATTTAAATAATTCTTTAATTTTAAACCTAATATTGCAAAAATACTCATTAAGATACTTAATAATTAAAAAATATAAACATTGAGTGTCGATACTTAAGGGCGTGAACCCTTGGGTGATTTTAAGAAGAAAAGTTAATAGCAACATATGTCGTAAACTTTTTAATTTTTGAGCTACAGGGTGTTACAGTTTTAAGAAAAAATAACTTTATTATAATTTTCTTATCACACCAGATATTTTTATGAAATTTTGTACACATCTTTTAATCATTAGGGAGCATTTTTTGATGTAAAAGATTTTTTTACATTTTTACCAGTGACGTCTGTACGGGATTTGAACTGAAAATTTTTGAAAAAAAAAAATGGTACGCCAATGCTTTTTCTAAATACCAAAATTATTTTTGAAATCCTCAATTATTTTGGAGCAAATTTTGCCCATAGACTTACTTTCGTACAACGCACCGTTTTCGCGTAAACAAATTAAAACAAAAACATTGTTTCTTAAGTTCATTGAAATTGCTTGTGATATTTTGTTGAAATTTGGTAGGCACCCACCATGCATGGAAACACTTTTTTGGTACACAAAAATTAAGAAAACTATAATAAAAAATTTAATTTTTTTTTAAACTGTAACACCCTGTAGATTAAAAATTAAGAGGTTTACGACATGTTATTAACTTTTCTTCTTAAAATCACCCAAGGATTCACACCCATAAGGATCGGCATTCAAATAATAAACACCCTGTTTATGATATATCTCTTTTACACGAAGCATCTAAACTTTATGAAAAATTAGTTCTTAAAAATGATACTCATTAGTTATAACTAGAGCTAGGAATATATGCAAAACGCCATATTTTGCATATATGCAAATCGCCTTATTTTGCATATATGTACAATTTTTGATTTTGAATGCATATATTGACATTTTGTTAATTTTTTGGCATATATCTGACGTACTAATTGGCTGGACATTAAAATTATGAGTTTTGGACCAAAATAATATTTTGTGAAATGCCTTTAAGGTCGATTTCCTAAAATTTTGAAGGATTAACTTTTCCCTGTAATAAATTACGGTTAATGGTGTAGGTACTTGAGAGGATTAAATTATAAACACCCTCCTCAAACCAACAAATTTTGCTAAATATTCTTTCAGGTAGTTGTATTAATATCTTCAAATTTCTAAATGACTCAGTTTACTTTCAACTTCATTTCAGTCTTTATTGTTGTGTTAACCAGTAGGAAAAATGGCAAAATTAATTGAGTCGTGGGTAAAATCTTATTCAGATTTTGTTGTAGAAGGTGATAACCAGGTGTTGTGTAAAACATGTTCTAAAATTGTACTTTTTTATTTTATATTTTATTTTGACCTTTCACAGTTAAAAAAAAGTGGGGCAACTTTACAACGTACGCATTTATTTAATTTAATTAAAACTTCAACATCTACAGGAATTTATTTGTTTTAGATTCCATGTAAAAAAAAGTTTCAAATCGACCTACACGCGAAAACACCCTCACATATAGCAAAGCAGAAATCTAAAGACACTCGCAGACAAAGTCAACTTCCCTTGAAACAATATTTAGAATCTAGATCGTCTAGAAGTGAACAAGCTATTTTTAATGAAGATTTTTGCAAAGCTTTAGTGACTTTGAATATCCCTTTAATACGATTAAATAATCCAAATCTCCGATCATTTTTGCAAAAATACTGTAAATTTAATATTCCAGAGCAAAGTATATTACGCAAACGTGGTGTTGACAGTTTGTACATTGAGACTCGTAAAAAAATTCGTGAGGTTACCGTTGGAAACCATTTCTACATTATTGTGGATGAAACAACAGACTCTTGTGGTCGATATATAGCCCATTTAATGATAGGTTCATTACGCGAAGAAATGCAAATTGGTCCATATCTTCAAAGCAATTAGATAAAACAAATAACTTGACAATAATTCGTTTTATTCAGACAGAATTGTCTTCTTTTTTTTCTTCCGGAAGGTGACTTCCGTAAATTTAATTAAGACGTTTGAATCAGAGTGTAAAAATGTCCAGGGCGATATTGGAAAGACGATTTTTCATAAATTTTCAAATGTAATTTTAAAAAATGAAGGATTTATTGTTTTAAGAAACCTTGCTAATATTTATTCTGGTAACTTTGAAGATATTAATACTATTCATCCAGATATTTCAGGAAAATTTAAGTTTGCACCTATAGATGTCGAAAGGAGTTTTTCTTTGTACAAGTACATACTTACTGATAGGAGACAATCATTTAATACAGATAATTTAGAAAATTATCTAATTGTTCATTCGTTTTATAATAATGTTGATTTGTAAATAAAATTAGTTAATAATTAAATAATTATTAAGTATTATATTAGGTATTGTAAAATAAAACAAATAATAAATATTAATAAACTATTTCGATCAAATAACAAATTACTCTTATTGCATATGCTCTGCATATTTTTCAATTTTTTACGCATATATTGAAGTATTTTGCGGCATATATATGCGCATATTTAACTACTTAACTTAACTACATATATTCCTAGGTCTAGTTATAACTATACAAGAAAAATCAGCGCATTTATATAAAAAAACAATTTATCAATGCATCAGCGTTACAAGTACTATGATTTAAAAAGAAACCATATTAATTTGATAACTTAATGTTCATCTCAGGGTTGATTATTTTTTTGTACGTATTTAATTTTTGAAATGAAATTAGTCATCAAACTATCAAAAACAACTGTTATTATCCAGAAAGTAGTATTTTGGGTTTAAATGGTGGTTT